TCCCCTGACAGTCCACCCTGCTGAAAAGCCTCCCAGATGAACTCCACATTCTATAACCCACTTTTTCTACATCTAATTCTCGTAAAAGTTAATGGCAATTCAATAGAAAATTTCAGATATTTACTGAGTGCTAAGAAGTACTATGTGAATAAGACTTAATGAGGAGTTCCCAATCAAGTGAGAAGAGGAAAAACCAGGCATAAATCACTAATAAATGTCAGATCATGACACACTTTATACTAATAATACAAATGAAATTTGAAGGAAGAAGAATGGCTCTAACAAAACTAATATAAAATGAATATTGGGCACCATGTTAGACATATTAAACAGCACCAACACTACCTCCCAACATAACATATTCAATTACAGTTACCTATGTACATATTTGCTGATGGCAGTGGGGAAATACAAATCAAGAGCCATAAGTGTTCATAACCTTTATCGAATAATCTCACTCTTGAGAATTTACCCAAAGAGATAAACTGGAAAGATTTTCAAAAGCTCTATGCACAAAGATCCTTGGTGAAGCCTCACTCAGAACAGCTAAACAAGGGGCGGGGCGGGGGGGGCGGGGGGGAGTGGCAAATAAAAGGACTATCATAGGGCCATTAATATTGCCTTAAAAGACAATATACAGAGGAAGAACAGGAAAACAGGGGGGGGGGGGGGGGGGGCGGGGGGGAGTGGCAAATAAAAGGACTATCATAGGGCCATTAATATTGCCTTAAAAGACAATATACAGAAACAAAAATAAGACAATGTTACAGCATGGAATCTGATAGAGAAAACAATTTCAAGAAGACCTTATGTTAAAAAAAGCAAAACAAAATTACACTTATATTGCCAATAATTATATAAGAAATGCAAAAAGAAAAATAATTGTGTTGGGGTGGTTAGGATAATGGATAAAAAAATTGTTTTCCTTTGAAAATTTTCCTCTAACAGTATTACAAGGTAAGTTTTTACAATAAATAAAAGACAAAAAACAACTTTAAATGTTTCAAAAATGTGTATGTCATTCCCTAAAAAAAGCAGTATTTGGCACTGCTGGAACAAGCACATACTACAGAACTGCACCCATCTACACTGCTTTTCTTTTCGTCTTTTGTGTCCGTTCTTTATTATACAGGTCTTCTCCTTGGGATATTCTGTGCTCTTGTTCACCTCACAGTAAACCCTTACTTGTCCTCCGCCTTGGTGAAGAAAATCTTATCCTGGGGATTCTTTGCCTTCAGAGAACACACTGGAAGTAGCTCTGGATACATGAAAACCTTGCTTGTGGCTAGGATCCAAGCCACTTGCTTTGGCAAACAGGGAAATTCATAGGCTGTAAGAAAAAAATTCCTGATAAATGAAATTCTAGAACAAAAGACGGCTTCACAAAAGCTTCTGAATGCATTTTTGCATTTAGATAGAGCCACCCCTACCTAACGTGATGCCCTTCCACCCACATACCCCCCTCCCAAAAGTTTCCACAATCTTTCTCAGCCTAACATATACCTAAAAGGAGTCCCATTCAATGCTATTAAAAGTTGATTCTCTTTTTCTTTCCTGTGTGGAATACTTAACACACTAAGTAACATAAGCACTTATAAAGTACCTAGTAATACCTGGCAGATAGTGTATGCTCAAAAAATTTTTACCTCCTTCCCCCTTTAAATCCTTGAAAGATAAGTGACCTTCAACAATGCTTTCTTTCTTCCAGGATAAGATTCCAACTTCTTTAATCTCCCTCACAAATCTGGTATTCCAAATTTTATTTTATTTGATTCTTACTTAACTTTCATTAAGTTCTCCCAGATTCCTCCTGAGGTTGGGAACAAAAAAACCATAAAGAGAATGAGACAATTCAGTCTCATTCATTTCTGTCTTGCTGTCTAAGCCTCTCAATTCCAGGCACTTCTGCCTTTCCAGAGATAAGCACCACTATACAGCCATATTTCTCCTTCCATAAATGTTATTTTTATATCCCCAGAAGAAAAACACAGGACACTATATGTATAAGTTACAATTGTAGTCTGGTGTTAAATTAAGTTTTCATTACTAACATATAATGAATAAAGTAGTTTGAGATCAGTGTCTATGACATAATGCACTTAAATTCAACTATATTCAATTTAACTATAAGAGTCAGGGATTTAAAATCAAATCCAAAGACAAACCCAAATCCACAGCAAGACACAACTAATTTGCTAAACTAGGAACAAATCAGAAGCAAATATTTAGTTTAAGGGAACAGCAAATATTTTCTTAAAAAATACTAAACCAATGCAAAGTAGAAACCAAACCTGCAAATTTCTTTAAAATATTGAACATGGTAAATGTACAACATCTCTAATTTGTTCCTAACTCCCATATCAATGTTTCACTCAAAATGGAGATATCACTATAATCATTATGGGAAATAAAATGATCTTAATGAAGAAGTGAGTAGAAACCTAAACACAACCCGACTTTACCACTTGACTTCCAACTTTATCAGATACCAGTTTGTCTTGACCTGACTCCTAATACTTACCCTCATATCTACTTAAGTCCAATTATTAGCAGGAGTCCCACATCTCTACCCCCCACAACCCTGCCCTGTCCACTGCCTACATCCCTTACTTAAGCCCAAGTATTATCACCTAATTCTAGAACTTAGATAATGAGCACAAAGGGAGGATAAAAGAGAGAAGGAAGAAATTACAAACACCCTGTCTCCTCCACCCCTAGGAAATTATCCCTAGGTAATTATCTATGGGATAAGACTCCCACCTCTCATTGCAAGTAAAAACTTAAAGCGGACACATCTGTCCCCTACCAGTCTTCTTGACAGTTTTACGAGGACTCCAGTCAACGCTGACATGTGTGTTGAAGTCTTCAATAAGCTGCACAGCTCCCATCAGGTTACAGGGTTGGAACAAGGTCTGAAACTTGGGGTTGAACTGATGATGAAGGGCGATGGAGCTCTGAGCAAAGGTTCCCAGCTCTTTCTGGGGAAACAGGACACAAAGGAGATCTAAGTTCCAGACAATTAATACCAGTAGCCCTTAGCCTCTGAGTGAAAAACTGTCCTTCCTACAATAGTATAAAAACAGGTAAAAATCATCATAAAGTCTTCCATAACTAACATTTTGCCATTAAGACTGTTCTTTTGCCAAGTCCTCAGATATTTGGGGATTTGTGATACACTAATTTGCTCTTGTTTTATTCTCAGTCTGAGTGTTCCTCAGCCTTTTGGATGTATGGTCTAGCTCCCCAGCCAGAATTAAAATTCTCAAGAGTGAGAGCCATTACTTAATAAAATAAAATAAAAATTTTAAATGTCTTCATTGGTTTCTCTGAAGAACAAAGTATTTCTCATGATCCTCTGAACACAATAAGAGGGAAGTAACACTCTGCTGACTGTCGAAGGAAGCTCAGACTACTAGAGCCAACTCAAACTCCAAAGAGACTTACCCAAGACGCAAAGAATAACCTCATTACCTACCCCAAAGTTCAGGAGCAATTTTTATAGGATTTTAACACATTACTGACAGGGGGATTTTTGCAGAAACTAACACCTGTGGCTATAATACGTCTCCGGTCAAAAATGTGTTAAAATTTGAATTTTTTTCTTTTTGGCCACGCCCTACAGCTTGCAGGATCTTAGTTCCCCGACCAGAAATTGAATCTGGGCCCCGGAAGTGAAAGTGCCGAGTCCTAACCACTGGACCTCCAGGGAAATCCCCAAAATTTGAAATTAAAAGCCCTTCCTCCAAAATATTTCATAATGCCATGAGCAAAATTAATTTTATGCATAAAACACTGATATTGAGCCTAATAAATAATGAATTCAGTAAAAAGAAGAGAAGTACCAAAAGCCCAAGATGAGTGGATCTAAAGGTAAGAGAACCCAATAAAAAGGTAAGAGGAATAGTCTTAAGAAACTGAATACTCTCTCTGTCCTTTAATGGGAACCAGTAACTTATGTTTTATCAGCAAGCACATGAAGCCATACGAACAGCTACCAAAACATGCAGGAGAGAAGAATAAATGTAGCTTATGATGAGTCAATACTTGTGAGAAATGACTTCCAAACTAACTGCATACACAATTCTTTAGAGTTAGGGATATCTGAAACCTTACAAGAAATATCCTGGTGGTACTGGCCTCCGAACTGAGACTGGGGTTGGAGGTGGCGAGAAGGTGAATTTGCGTCAAGAGCTGCACATGCTGGGGAGGGAAAGAAAATAATATAGTGACATGTTATGATGTTGTCATTTCAGGAACCCAGAAGACTTTACCAAGATGTTAGTGACTTTAGCATATATGTTTGGCTTTCTAGAGAGACTATGAGAACAACATAGTATCTTGGTATGAATTTTTTTCTCAAATATGTTCCACTTGAGCAAAATGACAGAACCAGAGGAAGTTTAACCTCAAGCCAGAGGGACTAAGATTAGAAAGAAGAAAAAACTACTCTGGCAATAAGGCTGTTAAATTCAGAAGGGATTACTACAGATTCTTTGAAATCTATCATTCTGAATACTATCAGGGTCCTTACATGCATTCTTACCTGAGACACGAACATGATGATCTTTCAAGGTCCTAACTGATGTGAAGATCCTGTGGTCCTGTGGTTTCAGTGGTTATCAACACACCTATTTCCGACTTTTCCAAAGCTGCTAATTTAATGTTTGGCTTCGAGCCAGGCCATGGGATGATCCAATATTAACATTACCAAGAAGAGTCTTACCTGCTGCATCTGCTGCTGGAGTCTCCTCCTCTGTGCTGGGTCTAGAATCAGAGTCTGATGAACTTTCTCACTCTGGGGCTTAACCCTCTCTACCTCCTGCTGCTGTTTGGCTGAAGATTTCCTCATCTTCAGCTGTTCAAGTAGCTCCTTCACTGTGCGATGCTGCTCATTTAGCAAGTTGGCCAGTGGTTCCTCAAACCTATCCTCAACAGGGAGATGATTGGATTTGAACATTTCCCTGGGTCCACAACACATCCAGTTCCTTCTAATGGTGGGCTAAGCAAGTCTGAACAACTTCCATCTACTCGTAATCCCCAAATCTCACTTTAACCGATAGGCAAACTCCTATCCTACCCAAATCTTCTCCCAAAGTTGTTAGTGTAGATTCAAATAAGATGGTTCTGAATCGCCGCCCCCCACCCATTCTTCTACATCAGTCTTCTAAGTAAGATCGTAATGAAGGGGAAATTAAACAAAAATCTAAGAGTAGGGAAGTGTCTGGATAACAAAGCAGCCAAGGAGCTAATGGGAACCCATCATTTTTCATCACACTGACAGCCAAATAAATCTCAGACTTGTTCTTAATGGTGATACAGAATCTTCTCCAAGTTTTCTAACACTACCCTCCTACCCCTACCTCCTGAGAGAGAGAGACTGTGTCTGGGGCTGAAGTAAGAATCCAAATACCTAGCATGCTAGTTCTGAAGTAGAGCCAGAACAAGACACTCAAGTGATTAAGCAAGAGCTGATACTGTGTGCAATCAGGATAAGACCTGCTCAAGTAGCTATGACTAGCAGGTTATCATAATTCAAGAAATCCTCCAGAATTTAGCAATAGTTAAATGATAATAATCTTTATCCCCAGAAGCTACTGAAAAAAGTTGTTTCCTTTTACAGTATTTACTGGGAGTATGGGCTGACAAGGGTGAAAACCTAAAGACACAGGCCTGTCCTCTGTACAATTTTACTGAGAATTGAAATCTCTTGATTATCTGCATTACTAGCAGAGGAACAGAAGAACAGAAACATGAAAAATGTAGATAATGCAAAAAAAAAGCCTGCACCTGATTTTAGTAAGTATTACCTGGATGGGTAGTTGATAAGGGGAACACAGGTAACTCACTTTCCCTGTGATATTTTACTTAATCAAAGATTGCTAGGTTTGCATTTCTAGCTGAAAGAAAAGCAGCAGCAGCCCATGCAGATCAACTGAATACCGAAAGGTAACTGAATTGGAATAAGGATTTTTAAGTAGTTACATAATGACCAAATTTTAAAAATTCATACACAGAGTTGACTAGTGGAACTGAAATATGTTTACAGATCAAATCCCATGATAATAAGTGCCCAGGTTCTATTCTGCTACACTAGAATTTTTTTCTATGAAATATGGTGTGAAATAAGTGGGTCAAATACAGACTCTAAGAAATTTTGAAATTTGTTCTCAAAAAAAAAAAAAAAGGTAAATATGTGAGGTGATAGAAGTGTTAATTAACTTGATGGGGGGAATCCTTTTACAAAGCATACATTTATCAAATCATCAAGTTGTACACTTTCAGTATCTTACAACCTTATTTGTCAATTATACCTCAATGAAGCTGAAAAAAAAAAGGAATTCCTGAGATTTCTGTTGTGGTTATATTATGGTATTTATTGTAATGGAGTATGACTGATATTTCTGACTTTTACACAATGATTAGTATACCTTGTCTCTTTCACTAAATTTGCAAGTTCCCTGAAAGCCTAGCTTTCAGGTGGATCCAAAGCTCTCTAGTTAGGTAATGCTGTTAAGTTAAAACACAGGACTAATTAGAGACTATGTGTCTTTCAGTTTTGCTTTGTTCCATGCATGGCACAAACCATACCCTGACATCCAGCCAGTCACCTAAGGATAGTATGCCGCTACTCAGAATGGATAGCAATAAAGTACGGATAAACTACACAAACTCATCACAAAAACGGAGGAAACATTTAAAGCCTCTACTCTCTGGGTGGGACAATGGAAGTGCTAATTTAACTGAAGAGGGCAGTACACACATTTCAGACTCCAGGGCATTACTTCAGGTGTTTTATGGTTTGCTCAATTAATGCCTTGGTGACTAACAAAGGTTCACTAACATTTACTAGATGTTAACGACAAATAGAAGAACAAAAGGGACATACTGGATATTACAATTTGGGGTAGTTTCTGTGGCTGGCCACATAGAGTCCTACACACCTCTCCAGCACCACTCACCTGGAGAAGCTGCTATGGATGCCAGCTACTGCTTTTTCTCCCTTCCCAAACAGGTACAGCTTGGTCTATAGCTGCACTGCCCCATAATAAGGAGACTTATTCACTTGACACCTAACACCCACAAGGGACTCTGCATCCTAATATCAGTAACAGCAGGTAGTCAGGGATGGGAAATTGTTAACCAAAATTTCTCAAAACCTTTTCAGACATACACTTTTCCTCCATTCTAAGTCTCAAGGTCTTTGGTTAGCCTACCGTAGGGCTTGAGGGGTGTTAAAGTTGGGCCGAGGCTCAGCCACACATTCCTCCTCCTCTGGGCCATCATCTTCCATGTTGGAGAATCCCATCTCATCTTGAAACTGAGGACAAAGGAAAAGAAGGATTTTCCTGGGAAATGGGCACGCAAAAGTCACTCTAGCAGTGAGAAGGGAAAGCAAAGACTAGTTTACAGGACTTTAATAATGCTGGCGCACAGAAAGAGCTTGCATCACAACCTTTCTCACTTCTGGGCTCGCACAATCCTGCACATGGGGTAGCTATTATGCCAGGAAAAAAGTTTCTCAATCAGCCAACTTGTAATGGTAAACACAGAGCATGGATAACTTGAAATGATCAGAATATCTTTAAAGAGATAAATTTATGAGAAAGGTAACTATTTGGGCTCATAATAATCTAAAATTAGTTTGCAATCTTTAAGGATGCAACATGTGATAGTGAAGAGTCCATCCAAAAGACTGCAAGGAAAACTTTATTAAGAATAACCCACATATGGATAATCAAAGTTTATTACTTAGCAAAATTCTCCTGTCACTATATTCTCTCCTGGGTGGATTGAAAGGGGAATGGGCTTGGTTCACACCACCCATCTGGAGAGAGAGGCCCTGAGACCAAAGGACAGAGCTTGCTGGAGAATCCACTTTTACTATTCTGAGTTCTCATTCAAAGATCATTACTCACAGTTTCAAACAGCTCTTCCATCAGTTCATTCACTTCCTTCTCTGCAAAAAAGCCAAACGGTATGCTGTTGGCACTTGTTTGTTTCATCTTGCCACAGGGGGAATTCCAAAAAAATTCAATGAAAGTTGTTTTCAGCAAGGCTTTTAACAAAATCCTCATATCTATCCATCATTGACTCATTCATTTAAAAACATTTATTGAACACCAACTATATGCCTTAACCCCTGGTTCTAGATGCTTAGATACATGACAGGACTTTACTCTCATGAAGCTTAAATTCTAAAGGGAAAACACACAAAACCGTAAGCTAGATGATTTTATAATGAGATAAATGTATAGTTTGTTGGCCTATCCTACTGAATGGAGTCAAGAGAGAAGTCTACAGCAGTGTGTCATAGGACCCTATCTTTGGACCTGAACTATTCAGCAATCCCATCAACAACCTAAAACACCCAGAAAACACACTTACCAAATCTGTAAATGATATAAAGCTGAAAGGGATTGCCAGACCAACTGATGACAGATTCAAAATTCTAGTTTTTCTCAAATTAATTGGATGAAACATAATGGGGATAAATTTAAAGTCTTACATTTAGGATTTTCAAAATTCAGTTTCTTAAGTGCACAAAAAGGTAACATGGTTCAGAAACAATTAATCTGAAAAAGATCTCAATGTTTTGGTTGACCTGAAGTTCAATATGACACAGTGGCTCCAAAACAGTGCTCACAACCAAGAAGGCAAGCATATCACTGAATCAGAGCAGTCTCAGACTCTATCTAGAGGACTGTGATC